TTCGTGTTCTTCAAGTTCCCAGAACTCCATTCCTGGGCATGATTTTGAATGCCCGGAGCCAACTGTAGGCCACTTCTTGTTCTTCTAGTTCCCAGAACTCCATTCCTGGGCCATATTTTGAATGCTGAGGCAGGCTGATGCTGCGGCCGAGGCAGGCTGAGGCTGAGGCAGGCTGAGGCTGAGGCCGAGGCTGAAGGCAGACTGAGGCTGAGGCTGAAGCAGACTGAGGCTGAGGCTGAGGTAGGCTGAGGCTGAGGCTGAAGCAGGCTGATGCTGAGGCAGGCTGAGGCTGAGGCTGAGGCTGATGCAGGCTGAGGCTGAGGCAGGCTGAGGCTGAGGCCGAGGCTGAAGGCAGACTGAGGCTGAGGCTGAAGCAGGCTGAGGCTGAGGCTGAAGCAGGCTGAGGCTGAGGCAGGCTGAGGCTGAGGCTGAGGCAGGCTGAGGCTGAGGCTGTGACTGCGACTGCCATTGCCGCTGCGACTGTCATCGCGAATGCGACTACGACTGCGAGAACAACAGAATTTTACAACTGGATTTTCATCTGAATCTTAAGGGGAATGCTTTCAGATATGCTTCTACACATCGCTGTTAGGTTGCTTTGCCGGGATAATTTGTTAATCAGCTTGGCGAGGGAGCCGGTCTAACAGAGGGGCGCGCGCAACAGAGGAGCGCGTCGAGCACCGCTGAGATCTATTTAATCGGCTTGGCGAGGGAGCCTGTCGAACAGAGGGGGGGCTGTGCAACAGAGGAGCGCGTCTAAGAGAGGGGCGCGTCTAGCACCGTTGAGATGTTTTAATCAGCTTGGCGAGGAAGTTTGCCGAACAGAGGTGCTTGTGTAACAGAGGAGCTGTCTAACACAGGGGCGCGCCTAGCAACATAAGCGCGATTAGCACCACTGAGATGTTTTAAATCAGCTTGGCGAGGGAGCTTGTCTAACAGAGGGGGCTTGTGTAACAGTGGAGCGCGTCTAGCATCACTGAAATTTTTGTTTAATCAGCTTGGCGAGGGAACCTGTCTAACAGAGGGGGCCCGTGTAACAGAGGAGCGCGCCTAGCACTACTGAGATGTTTTTAATCAGCGTGGCGAGGGGTCTGTCTAACAGAGGGAGCTTGTGTAACAGAGGAGCGCGTCTAGCATCACTGATAATTTGTAATCAGATTGACGAGGGAGCCTGTCTAACAGAGGGGCAGGTCTAGGAAATGATCGCGTCTAGCTTCACTGAGATTCTATAGGCTTACGCCACATCCGCCGACCCCTTGTTTCTTGTGTTGCCGTGTCTGTGGGGGGCCACGGGCCCCGGAAGTGGCACGCCACGTGGGGCCTCTTTTGGGCCTCTTGGGGGCCTCTTGGGGCCTCTTGTGGGCGTCTTCGGGGCCTCTTGGGGCCTCTTGGGGCCTTCTGGGGCCGTCTTGGGGCGGAAGGCTCGGATTGTCGGTTCGGGCTCCCTCTCTTGGGCACCTCTTGGGGCCGTCTTGGGGCCCTCTTGGGCTGTCTTGGGGGCCTCTTGGGCCGTCTTGGCGCCCTCTTGGGTTGACTTGGGCGCCTCTTGGGGGCCTCTCGGGGCGGTCTTGGGGTGCTCTGGGACCGTCGTCAACGCCGTGAAGGCCGACAAGTAGTATATGATCCAAATGTACGTTTTCCCATAGGAATTTGACGATTTTCGGCGCTTCGGCCCTTCTGAGGACTGCTCTTGGAGGCCTCTTGGGCCGTCTTGGAGGCCTCTAGGCTCATCTTGGGGGCATCTTGGGCGTCTGGGAGCGCTCGTTTGGCGCCCCGGAGCCCTCGTGAGCCGTCTTGGTGGAGTCTTGGGGCCTTCTTGGCCCGTCTTGATCCCCTTTTGGGCCCAAAAGAGCCCCGTGGCGCGCTCGTGGTGGGCCCGGGGGGGGGGGGTCAAATCTCCGGTTTTGGGTCCCAGGGGGGGGGGTTAGGGGGGGGGAACTATCTCACACGCCTAGAGACCCACAAGGGGTCGGCGGATTTTTAGTCAGCTTGGCGAGGGATCTGGTCTGACAAAGGGCTTGTGTAACAGAGAAGCGCGTCTAGCACCGCTGAGATTTTTGAATCGGCTTGGCGAGGGAGCGTTTCTAACAGAGGAGGGCTGTGTAACAGAGGAGCGCGTCTAAGAGAGGAGCGCGTCTAGCGCCACTGAGATGTTTTTAATCAGCTTGGCGAGGGAGCCTGTCTAACAGAGGGGCGCGTCTAGCAAAAGGAGCGCGTCTAGCACCGCCAAACCTAAGAGTGGAAATATCGAACCAATCGCAATATTGGTACGTTATTTCCCCCCAACTCCCTGGGCTGGTCTGCGTTTGCTCGTGCTTGCGTCGTTTGCCCGACG